TTCCTGCTGCTGCTGCCAACTTCCTGCTGCTGCTAACTTCCTGCTAACTTCCTGTGAGCGGCTCCAAACAGGAAGCTGCTCCACCAGCAGAAGCTGCAGCTGTGAAAAGATCAGTCTGAAACAACTGCAACTGTAGTTTCACATTTAACTAGTACCAACCTCAGCAGGTAGAGGGCGGTGTTTCTCACCTGGTTTCATCTGTGACTGGTCTGGAGGATGGTGGGATTATTAATCTGGACAAATGTCCAGCAGAGTGAAACTGTCTCCTCACAGAGTCGCTGTGTTTCAGTCTGGACTGTTCCTGTGGAACCGGGTTCTACCAGAACGTTCTTTCTGGACTTCAGTCCAGTGGTTGTCCTCAACAACAGTAATCAGTCCACACTGAACAGTCCAACAACAACGACAACAAAAACAACGACAACAACGACGACGACGACAACAACAACGACGACAACAACGACGACAACAACAACGACGACGACAACAACAACGACAACAACAACGACAACAACGACGACAACAACAACAACGACGACAACAACAACAACAACAACAACAACGACGACAACAACGACGACAACAACAACAACGACGACAACAACAACGACGACGACAACAACAACAAAAACAACAACGACGACAACAACAACGACGACGACAACAACAACAACAACAAAAACGAAAACAAGGACAACGACAACAACGACGACGACGACAACAACGACGACAACAACAACAACAACAGGTGTTTGACCATCATGATGTTGACTGACCAACCCTTCTGACGTCCTCCTCCTGTTGCCCCCCCCCCCCCCCCCCCCTCAGTTTCCTGAGTGTGGACTCTTGGGGCTGTTGGACCAGATCCTGCTCTTCCGTCATGACCTGAGCTCAGACAACGTCCTGCAGCGGCTGACGTCGGCGGAGCAGATCCACGAGGGCGACCTGGTGGAGGTGGTGCTGTCTGGTGAGGAGGAGGAGGAGGAGGAGTCCAACGTGGAGTCCTTCCTGTCTCCTCCAGTCTTTTCACTCTGCTCCTGTGTGTCCCAGCCCAGGCCTCGGCAGAGGACGTCCACATCCGTCCTCACACTCTCTCCGTCCACTCCTACAAGGCCCCGGCCTTCTGTGACCACTGTGGGGAGATGCTGTGGGGTCTGGTCAGACAGGGGCTCAAGTGTGAAGGTGAGGGGGGGAGGGGAGGTGAGGTGAGGGGGGGTGAAAATAAAAAGACTAATAACCCAGCCTTCTCCTCGGCTCCCCCTGCAGGATGTGGACTGAACTACCACAAACGATGTGCGTTCAAGATTCCCAACAACTGCAGTGACGTGAGAAAAAGACGGTTGTCCAATGTGTCCCTGACGGGCGCTGTCCTGTCCATCGCTCGTCCTCAGTCCATGGAACTCAGCCCGGTTTCACAGGAGGAGGTGGGTTCGAGTCCCTGACTCTCTGAGTGAGGGTCAGGGACCGTCAGGGGTCAGATTTTCAGGAACTTCTCCGGGGGTTTGTTAGCATCACTGAAGAGGAGAGAGAGAGAGGGAGCGGGGGGGGGGGGGGGCGGTGAGTTCACGGCCCACAGATTAATTGACTAATTGTGAACCAGATGTTTTTGTCAAGTTTTTGTTTTTTCAGCTAAAATACTAAATGTTCTGGAAACCAACAGTTTCTAAACATGTTCTACTCTTCCCCCACCAGCGCCCCCTCCTGGGTGCTGTCAAGCGCAATTCTTTGCTCAGCGGTCGACCCATCTGGATGGAGAAGATGGTCCTGGGGCGAGTTAAAGTCCCTCACACCTTCTCCGTCCACACCTACACCCGTCCCACCATCTGTCAGCTCTGTAAACGGCTGCTGAAGGGACTGTTCCACCAGGGGGTGCAGTGTAAAGGTCACACACACACACACACACACACAGAGTGTCAGGTTGTACTGAAACAGTTCTTGGTGCTTGGTCCACACCAGACGTTCATGACTTCCTGTTGTTGTTTTCTTTGCTCAGATTGTAAATTGAACTGCCATAAAAGGTGTGCAGCCAGGGCTCCCCGGGACTGCCAGGGGGAGGCGCACTTCAACGGAGGTGAGCCCTCATCAACGCTTCACCCTGCGTCCGCAGCAGTTAGCCGGTGACGAGCCGGTTGGTGACATCATCAGCTGGTTGGTGACCTCATCAGCTGGCTGGTGACATCATCAGCTGGCTCACTTCCTGTCTTTCTGCAGAGACTTCCAGTCCCAGTCTGGACTCTGAGGCCACGATGGAGGCGGACCACGCCGACGTCCACAGTGATGGAGGTCAGAGCACGGAGGAGCAGGACGAGGCGCCCCCCCCGGACGACAAGCTCTTCTTCACGGGGGGCCCAGGCGTGGACGGCGACAGGGACGAGGAGACGTCCAGAGCCACCAGGTGACTGTGTTAGCATTAGATAAGCAGCTCCTCCCAGCTGTGGGAGCTAACACGTGGGGAGCTAACACGTGGGGTGCTAACACGTGGGGTGCTAACACGTGGGGAGCTAACACGCGGGGGGCTAACACGTGGGGAGCTAACACGTGGGGCGCTCACACGTGGGGAGCTAACACGTGGGGTGCTAACACGTGGGGAGCTAACACGTGGGGCGCTCACACGTGGGGAGCTAACACGTGGGGCGCTCACACGTGGGGAGCTAACACGTGGGGAGCTAACACGCGGGGGGCTAACACGTGGGGAGCTAACACGTGGGGAGCTAACATGTGGGGCGCTAACACGTGTAGCTGTTTCCAGTGTGTCCAACATCCCTCTGATGAGAGTGGTCCAGTCCATCAGACACACCAAGAGGAAGAACTCCACCGTGGTCAAGGAAGGATGGATGGTCCACTACAGCTGCAGGGACGCCCTGGTGATGGACACAGACACAGACACAGACACAGACACAGACACAGACGTCCAAACAGCCTAACTGTGTGTGTGTGTGTGTGTGTTGACAGAGAAAGAGACACTACTGGAGACTGGACACCAAGACTCTGACTCTGTTTCAGAATGAAGGTGGAGCCAAGTTCTACAAGGTAGAACCAGAACCTCAGATCAGCTGCAGCTTCTGGACCAGAGGGTTTTTTTCCCCCTCAGTTTGAATCAATGAAATGTTGATTCAACGACCCCCCCTCAGGAGATCCCCCTGTCTGAGGTCCTGCAGGTGGAGCCGCTGCAGGACTCTGGGCTCAGCCCACCCTGCTTCCAGCTGACCACCTCCAACACGGTGTACTACGTGGGCGAGGACGATGGTGGTCTGCACCAACACCAGGTCCCGGGTCTGGAGGTGAGCCAGAGCTGGGAGAAGGCCATTAGACGGGCACTGATGCCCCTCACACCTGAAGCCAGCACCAGCACCGGGGGGGGCCGGAGGAGGGAGCAGAGTGAGTACCAGACGGTCTACAGACTAACACCAGAACCAGAACCAGTAACATGGAACTGAACGACATCACTGTTGTCTGTGTCCCTGCAGAGGAACTCTGTCTCAGTGTATCAGTGTCCAACTGCCAGATACAGGAGAAGGTGGTGAGTGTCCTGGTCAGTCCTGGTCTGGTCTGGTCTGGTCTGGTCTGGTCAGTCCTGGTCTGGTCAGTCCTGGTCTGGTCAGTCCTGGTCTGGTCCTGGTCAGTCCTGGTCTGGGCTGGTCAGTCCTGGTCTGGTCCTGGTCAGTCCTGGTCTGGTCACGTCTCTGTCTCTGTTTCTGTCTCTGGTTCAGGACATCAGCTCAGTTTACCAGATCTTTGCTGACGACGTCCTGGGCTCTGGACAGTTTGGCGTCGTTTACGGAGGTAAAAAAACAACCAGTTTGTAAAAACCAGCCTTGTTGTCTGTGGTCTGAGCTGAAAAGTCTCCTGACTTTTAAAGGCAAACACCGGAAGAGCAGCCGAGACGTCGCCATTAAAATCATCGACAAAATGAGGTTCCCCACCAAACAGGAGAGCCAGCTGAGGAACGAGGTGGCCATTCTGCAGGTACCACCCCCTGACCCCTGACCCCTGACCCTTGACCTGGGTCTGAACAGATCTGACCTCAGGTGTTGCTCACTCTCTGGACCTCGGTAGAGGTCTGCAGACTGACCAGCTGTGGGGGCAGACCAGCAGAGGCCCACAGACTGATTTCAAACTCATCAAAATGGCTGATTATCACCCCCCCCCCCCCCCCCCCCCCCCCCCCCACCCCCCCCCCCCCCCCCACCCCG